AATTTTTTACATAAAATATTTTAACTTGATGGGATGAGTTTTATGACAATTTTAGAGGATTAGATGAAATAATATATGTATATTTATGTATGTGGATGAGAGAGGAATAAATAGAGTAATAATTTTATTACTCTATATTAATAATATTAATAATAATAATAATAATAATAGGAATTTGATATGTTTGAGGAAGGATTTGTTGGGTAAAATGTAGATTATACTGATAGTTTAGAATACTTTGTTCATGAATTATGGTCTATTTTAGGATAGTATGTTTGGGAGATTAATTTTATTATTTTATATAATTTAACTGGTATGGTTTTTTTATATATATGTAGAGTTCTTCCTTAAATAATTGGGTTGGGTTAAAATAATCTTAGATGGGTAGATTTTTAGATAAAAAGGACCCAAATCCACTATAATAATGTATTCAGATTGAGGTTATGTTTTAAAATGAAATATTATTATTTATAACATTATGCAGAATGTGATGTATATATTTAAGAGACTAGGTGATTGAGATGTTAGGGGTTAATAATGTATTTTTATGTATCAAATAATTATGTGGTAATGTATTATATATTTATAGAAAGCCAATGAAAATTATGAGGTAGAGTTTTACAGTATGGTATGTTGGTGGACGATTTTTACATTAGGTAATATTTGCCGGATCAGTTGTAAGCAGTTACCGGATAATACTGGCACTGCTCCCATCTCCAATATGGCGGTGAGTGTTTCGGCGCCATGATGAGGAGGGGTTTAAATAGAACTGTGTTGCTTGACGCTCACACCCCTTATGACTAAGTCGATGACGAAACGCGTCAAGGCAGAGTGACGTTAAGACGTTTTCCCGGAAACCGGAAGTTACCTGGCGGCCATTTTAGATAAGGGAGAGATCGAGCAGGAGCGACGGGACGTGTCTCCCTGGATGTCCGTGAGATCCTTACACCTTCTGAACTCCCTCTAATGCGTTGTTTAAACTTTGGCAATGTGAGCAGTTACAAATAAAGTGTTTATTATTCATTTTATTGGCGGTATCACACTATGTCCTCTATGTTTTTTTGGTGACACTGTGAGCAGAGTGTCTGAGGAATCCAGAGAGTGGGGTGGCTGCGGGATACAGCAGAGGTTCCTGAGTTGATCAGCCTGAAAAAGTTCCTGGATTGTTACAAAGCCTATTATATTGGGAAAGTTGGTAAGGGTACCCTTACTTCATCTAGAAGTGTACACATTTTTAGTTTTGGATTTTCTGTGATATGGCACTGTAAGAGTGTTGTGTACACTGAAGTGGTTTTTCACGGATCACGTGTGGTTCACGTTTTTTCACTATTTTTTCACGTATTTTCACTATAGGAAGCACAATAAAGTTTAAATATATAATTTTATAAAGGATAATGCACTATATGAGTTTTCCTTTTTTTTGAGGTGGACTGTGTTTTGGAATATCGTTGGAAGAATATGGGACATTTTTTTGCATAAGATTTATAGTGGACTATATATTGGTAGTGGATTCACCTTACGCAAAATTGGGTATTATTGTTTTGGAGCATTTGTTTAATAACACTGTCACGTATATAGTCTTGAATTAATTTATTAAGAAAAATACTTTTTTGTGTGTAAAAATTAACAAATCTTATTTGCAACCAATGGCCCGCATTTGTGGGAGTATTTTGTAGTATAATGTCCCATAGAAAATGTTGATGCTGAAAGGAAAGTAAAGGTTTTCTGACAAATCTGTTGGGGTGTACTCATTTATGCTGAGCACTGTAGGTGAACCTCTTCATGCTCCCGGCCCTTTAGATTGGGTTTTAGATGCAAGGAGGCGGGACGGGGTTTCAGGGTCATGTGACTGCCATGATTCGCTGTCTCGGTGGTCACATGATCGTAAAAGGTCCCGAACGCAAGGGGAGATCGGGACCTTGCCGTGAGACACAGACATATGTGCTGGGAGCACGCAAGGTGCACGCATTTAGCACATATATGTTTTCAAATGGTACGCAAATATGCGCCACTCTGCGTCAAGGCCCAGCTGCCAAGAGGCTGCATATATGCATACGGTCGGCATCAAGGGGTTAAGTTAGACTTCTCTTTTGTGCAAATGAAAATACTATTTATATAGTGTTTTCCTGTAGGATCTTTTTTTAGTTAAAAAAAGTTTGTTCCTCTAGTTTATTATCTTTCCTTTTTATACATTCAATTCTTCATAATAGAACTGATGAATTTCTTCAGACAGGCAAATTACATCTTGATGACTGCTACCATTACCTGAATACATTAGCTCATGCTTATAAAGACATCTTTTATTGTTTTTTATTTTGCCAATAAAGTAAAACACTATTTGAAGAAAAAAAGTTTGTAGCTGAACTAGTTAAACAAGTTACAATGTTGTACAAAGCTGAGAATTAGTAAACTGAGGGACATTTTTATAATGAGATGGGGTTTGCTTTGGAAACTTGTTCCACATTTGTATAACTCTAACACCTTGTAGTAAAGAGATTGTCTCAAACAAAGACAGCAGTGACTAGTCTATTACAGTGAACCCCTGCAAAGAGGTAAGTTAGTGGCACTTGTATTATGCTGAACAGTATTTTTTTTAAACATGATCTTCCTATAAAATTCCTACTATTATTATTTTATAGTGTTTATATAGCGCCAATAGGTTTGCTCAGAGCTGTACAATAAAGTGGGGGGACAGTACATGAGACAATACAGTAACAATACAATACACGAGGGGTTCGAGGGCCCTGCTCTTACTAAATTGTATGCACTTCCACCAATGTGTGCTGGAATGCTTTACATGTTTTATTTTTATTTTAATTTTTTTAAGGACATTACCCCATTGGAAACAAACATATCATAGCTTACAATCTAAAGTGCACTAGGAAAAAATCAGTTAAAAATGGTTCCACTTTACAGTCCATCTCTTATAAATGAGTACCACTAGGTTCTAAAGTCTTTTTAGGCTAGTAATTGTTAAGTAGCCTCCTAACGTCTGTCTTCCCTGTCAGCTACAGGGTAATGAGCCTGGGCAAACACCTCCATCTCTGGATTAGTTAGGCAGCCTCCAAGTTACCCAAAACTCATAGTGTGTGTATATATTATATATATATATATATATATATATATATATATACACACACACACGCACAGTGCATCTAGAAAGTATTCACAGCGCTTAACTTTTGCCACACTTTGTTATGTTACAGCCTTATTCCAAAATGGATTAAATTCATTTTTTTCCTCAACATTCTACAAACAATACCCCATTACAACGTGAAAGAAGTTCCTTTTTTTTTTTTTGTTTACAAACATTTTTATTAGGAGATAGACTACAAAAACCGCACCATTTAGTGAGGTAGAATAAACAGCTTGAAAAAAAGCATAAATAAGAAATGAACAAAGTACAATCATAAAAGTATAAAAAAAAGGTACATGAAAGAGGTATTCAATAATATCAGCAGAACAACCACAAGATCAATAAAAAGTTTGATACAAAACAACCCATGACAGACCATAAATCGAATAATAAGTGTTCATGCTTTCTCCAACCATCCCATTTCCTGTTAAATAAATGCATCCTATCCAGCAACATATAATGAATATGTTCCATAAGCATAACCATATCAACTCTCCATAAGACAGAAGCCAAAGGGATCACAGGAGACTTCCAATAAAGGGTAATGCCACATAAGGTGGAATTCCAGATAGTTTGAATTAGCCTCATTTGGTTTACTGGGATCCCCAAAAGCGATACTCCCAATAAGCAACTTTTCAGGTATAAATACACCGGAGAACCTGCCAAAGCGGAAGCCACTTCCAAAATCCTATGCCAGATCAAGGAAAGACCAGGGCAAGCCCAAAATACATGTATGAGGGTACCAGCCAAACCACAACCCCCTAAAGCCAAAGTGCTATGTTCCCGTAAACATGACATTAAGTCTAGAGGGGGTATAGTACCAGCGAGTTAAAACCTTCAGGGCCATCTCACGAACCAAAAGAAATCTAGAGCCTTTCCGTATATTCTCCATCATGGAAACCCAGTCCTCATCAGAGAACGTAACCCCACACTCATTCTCCCATTTCTGTCTATACAAAGTGGGCAAGGAAAAAATGATCTGTAAGAAGGAGCGATATAAATCGGAGATATGACCCCTACCCCTGGGTGAGTCATGACTGATAAGTTCAAATGAAGTAATTGGGTGTCGAGGGCGTCAAACCAAAGTGGGAACCGAAAAAGTGTTGAATTTGTCGATAGCGAAAATGTTCACAAAATAGGATGTCAAATATTGTACGTAGCATATCATAGGATATAAAAGCCCTGCCATGCTGAAAATCTAATAGTCTAATAAGAGTGCGGTCATACCACCAGCGAAAAAGCCTGTGGAGATGAAAACCCGATAGGAAAACGGGGGCAACCAAAATTTAGAATTATAACCTGATGAAAGTGCCAAACAGTGGGACACAACCAAATTATATATCAACAGCGAACAAGGGGGAGTATTTGACCACAATAGACCCGGTAAATAATATGGGCGTATAGACGAAGATTCAACTTTGACACAGGGTGTCGAGCAGTTAACAGTCGCCCATTGTGCTAATTGAGAAAAACAAACAGATAGATAATAAAGCCAAATGTTGGGAAGGCTTAAGCACCCCTGGCTTTGCTATTTATATAGAACAAGCTTGGTAAAATGAGGATGTCTATTTTGCCTAATATAGTTATTAATCACGCTTGGAAAGTGATCTAAATAATATTTAGCAAATGACAATGGGAGCGCTCAAAATAAATAGAGGAGTTTAGGTAAAATGTTCATTTTCACAGCCGTGACTCTACCCAGAAATGAGATAGGGTACCCATGCCAGATCTTAACCACTTCCCGACCGGCCGTTGTATATAAACGGCCAGACGGTGGCACTGCAGGGTCGGGTGGCCGTCTATAAACGGCCTCCCCGGCACCCTGCTTGTGCGCGCTCCCTGGGAGCGTGCAGCACCGCGATCCAGTGCCCGCTGTGTCCTCTGTGTGAAACACCGATCGTCGGACGGGACCTCTGTACGAGGTCCCGATCATGTGATCACTGATTGGCCAATCAGTGATCACATGCAAAGTAGTAAGCAAGATGTCACTTCTGACATCATTGCTTACTATGTGTGAAATCTGTGAATGATCACAGAGGTCACATGGTACAAGGCTATTCACAAAAGCCTTGTACCATGTGACAAGCTGTGACCAATCACAGCTCACTCAGTTCTTCTCAATGAGTGCATGAATGCACACAGAGAGAAAGAGAAATGATTGCTTTTACATCCTATATGGGTGTAAAAGCAATCAGTGTAAAAAAAAAAAAAAAAAACTCTTCATCACCCCTCACAAGTAGTACAGTGTCGCCATGGTGACACTGTACTGCTAGGGTGACAGTATGTAAAAAAAAAAATAAATTAATAAAAAATAATAATATAAAAAAATAAAATAAAAATGTAAAAAAAAATGTTTAAAAATTATAATTTTTGCTTATAAACTAATTTGGATTTTTTTTTTTTACTAAAAAGATAACGGAATAAATTTTTGCTAAGATTTATGATGAAATATTATTTATTTGCAAAATTTTATAAAAAAAAAACACTTTTTTTCAAAATTTTTGGACATTTCATTTACATAGCAAAAAAAATACAAATCCCAGTGGTGAATAAATACCACCAAAATAAAGCTTTATCTATCTCAAAAAAATGGTAAAAAATTCATTTGGGTACAGTGTTGCATGACCGCGCAATTGTCATTCAAAGTGTGATAGCGCTGAAAGCTGAAAATTGCCCTGGTCAGGAAGGGGGTAAAAGTGTCCGGTCTGGAAGTGGTTAAGTAGAGTGCAGAGATGAGACATACATGGTGGGTAATTGGCTGCAAATAGCTCAGAGTACTTGGGTGTGAGGTAAATACCAAGGTATACAAACCGATCAGTGGTCCACCAAAACGGGAAAGAACCATGGAGGGATTCCCCCACAGACTCAGAAACATTAATAGGCAAAAGAACAGATTAAGACAAATTCACAGAGAGATCTGATATGGATGCAAAATCATTCAACAAAGTGCATAAATTAGGCAAGGACACCAATGGGTTGGTAAGAAAAAGCATAATATCATCAGCATACATACATAACTTAAATTGTGAAACCAAGTGTGGATACCCTAAAATATCAGGGTGTGACCTTATAGCAATAGCCAAGGGTTCCAAAACAAGCGCAAAAAGTAGGGGCGAGAGCAGTCAACTCTGACAGGTGCCTCTACCCAAGGTAAAAAAGTCTGAATTACAAGCCGGGAGTCTAATCCTCATTTGGGGAGAATTATATAAAGCCTGTACACCAGAAAAAAAATTGTCACTAAAACACAATTTCTGCAACAACGAAAACAAATATGGCCAAAGAACACTATTAAAGTCCTTATTAATGTCTAGGCTTAATAACAACACCTCCTTAGAATCCAGGTTAGCATCTTGAATAACATTCAAGATGTATTATCTGTGATAAGGCTGTCAGGTATAAATCCCCATTGATCAGGTGAGACCAAGGAGGAGATAATAGGGGCCAATATATCCGCTAATATACGACTAAATATCTTTAAATCATTATTCATCACAGAAATGGGCCTATAGTTTTGTGGTAGAAGGTGGTCTTTTAACCACCTCCCGTCCGTATATAAACAGCCGGACAGTGGCGGTGCAGGGTCGGGTGGCCGTTTATAAACAGCCTCCCCGCCTCCTGCTTGTGCGCGCTTCCTAAGAGCGCGCAGCACCGTGATCCGGTGCCCGCTGCGTCCTCCGGACACAGTGGAACACCAATTGTCGGACGGGACCTCTCTGCGAGGACCCGATCATGTGATCACTGTTTGGCCAAACAGTGATCACATGCAGAGTAGTAAGCAAGAGGTCACTTCTGACATCATTGCTTACTACGTGTGAAATCTATGAATGATCACAGAGGTCACATGGTACAAGGCTATTCACAACAGCCTTGTACCATGTGACAAGCTGTGACCAATCAAAGCTCACACAGTAGTTCTCAATGGCTGCAAGAATGCAGCCAGAGAGGAGAAATTATTACTTTTACAGCCTTTGGGGGTGTAAAATCAATCAGTGTAAAAAAAATAAAAATATTCACCACCCCCCCCCCCCACAAGTAGTACAGTGTCACCATGGTGACACTGTACTGCTAGGGTGACAGTATGTAAATAAATAAATAAATAATAATATTAAAAAAAAAATTAAAATCTAAAAAAAAAGTTTAAAAATTATAATTTTTGGTTATAAACTAATTTGGGTTATTCTTTTTTACTAAAAAGATAACGGAATACATTTTGGCCAAGATTTATGATGAAATATTATTTATTTGCAATATTTTATAAGAAAAACTTTTTCTAAATTTTTGGACTTTTTCATTTATATAGCAAAAAAAATAAAAATCCCAGTGATGAATAAATACCACCAAAATATATGTTTATCTGTCTCAAAAAAATGCTTAATAAAAAAAATTCCTATGGGTACAGTGCTGCATGACCGCGCAATTGTCATTCAAAGTGTGATAGCGCTGAAAGCTGAAAATTGGCCTGGACAGGAAGGGGGTGAAAGTGTCCGGACATGAAGTGGTTAAAGGTTTAGGCAACAGGGACATGTTGGCCAAGAGCATCTTGTCAGGAAACCTGGCCCCCTGCAAAACCTCATTGAACATAGACACCAAAGATGTAGCTAAAAAGGGGCAAAATGTTTGTAATAACTGGCAGTGAACCCATCAGGGCCTGGTGCTGTGGGTTTTTTCATTACGTTAATTACATGTGTAACTTCCTCCATAGTACAAGGGGCATTAAGGGACAAAATCTGAGAGGGTGTAAGAGTAGGAAGAGGTAAGGAATCAAGCCAAGAGACTTCCAGGGGAGGGGAATTTGCCTGTGGAGGAGCCAACAGGGAGGAATAAAATTCCTGAAAAATGTCCAACACTTCGCGGGGTAATGAGGAGACATTACCATGCTTATTACACAGTTTATATATATATGTGGGGGGCAAATTGAGTAATTAAGTTTCCGGATGAACATGGTAGACGCTGAATTACTATGTAATAAAAAAGATGCTCTTGACCAGCGTAAAGCTTTTTCTGTTTTATCTGATAGTAAAGTATTCAATTCTAAATGCTTCTGCAAGATCAGACTCCTGTTTAAAAGTGATGGGTTACCTACAGTACATGTGTTCTTTAGTGCGTTTCCAGATCTCTGGTGAGCTTCTGAATTTGTTTCCAACGATCCCTATTTCTGGCTGCTGCCATAGAAATAAGGCGGCCATGGAGAACCGCCTTGTGGGCCACCCACAGCATAGCCGGAGAGGTGTCAGGAGTATTGTTCAGCTGAAAATACTCTTGGATTGAATTAGATACTTCTTGACGGGACAAGACATCTGTGAGCATAGAGTCATTCAACTGCCAGGAACAGGGTGTAGACGCTAGGCCTATAAAGGTAACAGACAATGCCACATTATTATGAACCAACCAAGAACACGTGTATCCCTGCTTTTGTGGAGTTGGCCAGAAGGATCGAAGAGCAATATATGTAATCCAGCCTGGCATAAGATTCATGCGGTGAGAGTAAAACATATAATCCCTAGCACTCATATTATGTGCCCTCCAGGAGTCAACTAACTGAAAGGACTCTAAATGTTTATGAAGAGATTTAGGGAGAATTGAGGATGAACTCCTATCCAATAACGGATTAGCCACCAAGTTAAAATCACCGCCTACCAACATATGATGAGACAGGAACTTGTCAAGAGTATCAAAAAAGTTTGAAAAAAGGTCGCTTGGGCTGAATTAGGTGCATAAACATTGGCTATGGTGAGCTCACGACCCAAGAGTGTGCCCTTACTGATAATGAACCTGCTCTCAGGGATCACGATCCTGTTTTACCTCAAAGGGGAATGAATTATGAAAACAAATAGCCAACCTCCCTGCTTTTGGTGGAATACAACGTGTAAAATGCCTGCTTATATGATTTATGAAAAAAGGTAGGATGTTTAGCCGCTTCAAAATGGGTCTCTTGTAGTAAAATAATCTTAGCCCCTAACTGCCTATATTGGAATAATGCTGTTTTACGCTTATTTGGAGATTTAAAACCTTGGACGTTATGTGAGATGCACTGCATCACCATGTGTAATTATATAAAAAAAGAGAAAATAACAACCTTATCATACCAATTAGATCTATATCCAGGAAGATTGATACAAAAAATCAGTGCCCAATACTTCAATGATAAGGATAAAGTCTAACCTTATCAATGCATGGAATATCCAAGCCCCAAATAGGAAGCAAGGAGATCCACATAATCTTGTATGACTACAATCATGTACAAATCATGTAAAAAAAAAACTAAAACATAACTCAGTAGAGAAAAGGCCCGAGCAGCCCCGATGACAAAAAAGATCAAGATAAACCATGGATCAGATGGGCAAGCTGCCTCACCTGAATAGACAGAGAACCACACTTTTGAAGGGCCAACAGAGCCCAAACCTTGTCGTCTTCAAACCCGGTAAGCGGAGCTGACACTCCACAACAGGGCAGTGACAACTCCGACCGCTCCCAGCAACAGGGTGGGGTAACACTTTGGCGACCCACGTAGACTCAGCCTGCCAGCCAAAAACAAGGGCCTAATAATCTATATTAAACAGATAGCATGTCAAATTATTTAGGATATACACCCAGAGTTGACACAACTAGTACAAAGGCATCAATGAAATGCATGTCCCAATAAGTGAACAAAACGGGAGAGCAGCCAAAAGTGAGAATCCCCATCATCCTGCCTCCTGTCTGACTCTCCTTCTCTCCCACCTTGGAGATGATGTGTTCCAAATAGGAGATATTCGGGGAGTGGAGGGTGGGCGTTGAGGTGTAGGAGCATCCGCTAGACCCAGTTTCACCAGGATATCTCTCCCTTCAAGAGGAGTGGTAGCTGTACGTGTGCTTCCATTGTTTGGAATTGATCAATTTAAAGCCCCACTTGTAGTGACTACGTGCCGTGGATAAGACAGACGTGACGTCCTTCATCTTCTGGCGTTTCTCCAACGTGGCCTGAGCGACATCAAGAAAAAGTGTGAAGGTGACCCCTCCAAGGATATTACAGGGGTATTGCGAGCTACCCTAAGAATATCCTCTTTAATCAAGAAATCTTTCATGCACAGAATAATGTCCAGGGGAGGTTTCTCAGCAGGAGTTTTCAGACGCAGAGCTCTATGTATACGATCATAGGCAAAAGACTTAGCGTCGTGATCTGGAAGAAGGGACTTGAACAACTTAGTTGCAGCTTGTGAAAGAAGATCAGTCATGGTCTCAGGGACCCCATGGATGCGCAAATTATTCCTGTGATTACGGTTGTCAAGATCCTCCACTTGCGCCTGTAACTGTGTAAAGACAGTGTGCAAAAGGTCATGATCCCTGGATAGCTCATCATAAGCCAAACTAAGTTCATCATGTTTCGTTTCTAAGTGATCTGTTCTAGCCCCAAGTGCAGCGATTTCCTGCGAAAGGACATTAGTGCTTTTATGGAGTTCAGACTGAAATTTGGTGGCCAATTTCATATATATAGACTCCAGACAAGACTCCAAGTCTCCTTTTGTAAGCTGCTCTGAATATTCACATTCCTGTGCACATGGCTGGGGAGCTGTGTCCCTTGTGAAATGGGATGCGGATGCTCCGCCTGCGCCACATTGGGACATGCTGCACTGCTCCTGTGTCTTTAATAGGTAAGTTGTATGGAATTTTTGAACAGATCCCTTACTTCTTTTTTTTTAGTTGACGGCATTCAGAGCACTCTTCTGGAGGTGATCAGCTGATTTGTGGGCAAAAACGAGGGTTCGGCAGGCTCCAGGGAGCGGTAAGACCCCACGCAGGGACAGAGCTCCTGCTACATGCGGCTGTCCTCCATGACGCCGTGCATGCACCCCCAAGAAGTTCCTTTTAAAATCTTTGCAATTTATTAAAAGTAACAAAACAAAAAAAAAAACCACATGTACATTAGTATTCACAGCCTTTGCTCAATACTTTCTTGAAGCACCTTTAGCACCAATTACAGCCTCAAGTCATTTTTAGTATGATGCTACAAGCTTGCCACAGCTATTTTTTGTACAATTTCTCCCATTCTTCTTTGCAGTACCTCTCAAGCTCCATGCGGTTGGATGGGGAGCGTTGGTGCACAGCCATTTTCATATCTCTCCAGAGATGTTCAATGGGGTTCAAGTCTGGGCTCTGGCTGAGCCATTCCAGGACATTCACAAGAGTTGGCCCGTAGCCACTCCTTTGTTGTATTGGATGTGTGCTTAGGGTCATTGTCCTGTTGAAAGATGAACCGCCACCACAGTCTAAGGTCCATAGCGCTCTGGAACAGGTTTTCATCAAGGATGCCCAAAAATAGGTGTGCCAAGCTTGTAGCATCATACTCAAATCGACTTGAGACTGTAATTGGTGCTAAAGGTGCTTCAAGAAAGTATTGAGCAAAGGCTTGTGATAAATTGCAACGATATCAAAACAAACTTCTTTCACATTGTCATTATGGGGTATTGTTTGAATGAATTTAATCCATTTTGAAATAAGGCTGTAACATAACCAACTGTGGCAAAGGTTAAGCGCTGTGAATACTTTATAGATGCACTGTATATACATACACACACATTTTAAATTATTATTATGTATAGTATGTCAGGTGTCTGTGATGGTGAGCCTATGTAAATTGCCAGCTCGGGGTTCCCCAGGGCATGGACTGTAAGCCCCAGCCTGCTTCTTTACAAGGACCCCTGATGGTGGGGGATGGGATTGCAGCAAGTTGGAACCAGGTCGTGGCTCCCAGATACACTCAGTTGAGAATGTGGAGACTATTCACATGTGCAGAGTACAAATGGAAGGAGACAGAAGGAAATTCAGGAAACAAGCCAAGATCAGGGTGGGTGGCAGGCAAGCACAGACAGTAGATGAAGTTGGGGTCAGTACACTAGAAGTCAGACACTGAACACACGATTAGAAGGCAGAAAGAGCTCAGAGAACTGGGAAGTTTCTCAGGCAACGCAAGCTACACTGA